TTTTCCTTTTAACTGACACCCATATTTTTACTCTACAATACATTAAATCTTTTAAGTAATTTGTTTATCCAATATTATCCATGAAATTTCAATTTCGTATCAAAAAACACCTGGATTTAGGAAATTGTATTGAACATGTTCGTTCTCAATATTTAAATAAATATTGTAGGTGCAAAACCTGGGTTAAAACGGTTTTAAAAGTAAAACGTTCCATACAAATTTGAAAACGAAAATTTCTCTGTGCACTGTACTTTTTCCATTAATTAATTTTTTCGATGTCCTTGGAAAAAATTCTGACATCGTATTAATCATTCAAAGATGCAGATTTACTAGAAATGCATTGAAACATGGGAAACGTGTAGAATTTTTCTGCATTTCCAAATTTTTCACGGACGATTTGGTAGCCTTAATACGAAAAGTCGCACGGGTTAACGTTACCCTACGACCATACAAATTCATATAGATATGATATATTACATATTATGTTACTTTGCCTAAAAAGCACAAATACAGAGGATATTTTGTAAATTTGTAATGTACTCATTTTACTCAACTTCGATGTAAAAGTAGCATAACTCAAATTATTGTAGAGTGCACCCCGTAATACTATACCTAAATATTGCGTAATACCCAGAGCTACCACTGTGATTTTTAAAATTTTTTTTTTGAGATGGCATATTTTCAAAAACCAATGTTGTTTTTTTTTTTTTAATTTGTATGTGAAACATTTTTCAAGAAAAACATTTAATTTTCTTTTCATAGAGAATTTTGATGTGTGTATGGGTGATTTTTTTTAAATTTTTTCCTCGCCCCGTTCTCGAGATATTTGGCAAACTATCAAATCCATTTGTTTTTGTTTTTGTGCTGTCAAGTTTTTAAAAATGTGTTAATCAAGCCCAAATTTCATATATATTTATTTATGGCCTTATTCATAAAAAATAGAGTAGGTTTAAAGAGCTTTATAAAATGACGTTTTCATACATTTTTCAGTTTATAAACCTATTTTAAAGCTACTTTATTTTTTATGAATGAGGCCATTAATCATTATGTTTATCCATCAACCCTAAAAAATTTGAAACAAATCAACCACATGAAGTGTGAACCCCGTCCAGTTTTGCATGGAATGCCCCATATAGATCTATGTATATGTAAATATTTACATACATACATACACTTATTAAATGTTTTTTTTTTGCTTCATCAAATAAGTAAAAATAGTTACTAGAAATAAAAATTTGTAGCGAGACTCGCATCGCACCGGCAAAATCATAGCTAGGCTTGTCAATCATATGTATGGAGAACGTAGATGCGCGCAAGCTTATTCATATTTAAGTATATGTATGGAGAATCTTTCGTCTCACTAAGTTTTAAATCGCCAATTGTGCTAAAAAATTTTTCATTTAAAAAAACTTTCAATAAGATAACTATTTCTGGTGGATTACAAAGCTTTGATGTCTTCATTACTTGGACTAGCCTTGATGTTGATTGGGCTGGCCTGAAATAATTTTTTTTTTATGCAAATATCTTTCTCAAATTATTTCGCAGCAACTTTTCATTTTGTTTTCCACTTTATTGTTATCATTTAGCGTTAAGGGGCTAATATTATTGACAGCATTTTACACATTAAAGTGCATTTGTCACAGCACAGCGCAGCAGGACACTAATGAGATGTCGCTAGGGTGCTATAGTTGATACCATCTACAATCGTATTCTGTTATGAAAGCTGAGATTTTTATTCCTCATAGTCTGTTTCCTTACTTGATTTCGCTATATTCACAACTTCTCGCTCGCCATTATGTATCTCTGCAGGAATTTAGCCCTCCGTCACTTGACGTAGACGCTGTAGTGAATTTCGTATTTATGCCAATAAATTTTTGTGTGCATGTCTGTTGCGTTGACATTTATGGGCGGTCGCAGCACAATGACCCATTGGCAGATGGCGTGTGACAGCGGCGTCGAAATGTGGCCAAACAAAGAATTCGCGTTTCGTTGTTGTCTCTCCCCATTGCTCCTGTCGCTACATTAATGACAATAATGTAATATTCTTGGTATATTGTTTTGGGCTTGTCGTTGTGCTTTTCAACGTTCACATTTGAAATAACTACATTGCTACATACTTACTTTGTAAATGATGAACGAAAACAGTTAAGGTAAGTGGGTACATTTTTATTAGCGGAGGAATCCATTGTGGCCAATTAGTATTTCTTAAGTTTGAACAGATATTGCGCCTTAAACTTTAAAAGCTTTAGTGGATTTATGAAAATGTTTGCCATATGGGCCGAGCGCGTAGTTCAAGTCTGATTTTGATATGTTTTAAGCACTTACCCTCTTTTTCTTACTACCTCTCTCCACATCGTGCACATTTGGTTAGGGCCACTGTGAACCCCGACCCTGTTTGGGGAACAGATAAAAGAAAGTGGGATCGCCCTCTTTTTGACTTGACCTTCGCTTTGTTTCAGACTGGCTTTCAGAAATGGCTTGCAGAATTATGCCCTACTGCCATCGTGTTGTTGAAAATCTGACAGTTCTCGAAGCACTTTCCAATCTAATTGCCGATAAGTTGGCGGAGTGGCTAACATTTTAGAGGAATCGTGTTTCTGAACTTCATTTAGCTTTGAGCGCCTTGTCTCTGAAGCGCAGGCATGGCTCGCATGGCCTCGAAATTTTTCTTTATTCTGACTAAACTATGTGATTCTATGGGGCTACACTATAAATCGGTGTAGAACGGCGCAGCAGTAAGCGACGTATCCACTTGAGGAGCGCAATTCTGGCGTGGCTCTGAACCAGACCTAAAGTTTTCCGTAATGGGGCCCAGCACCACCAAAGGTACAGGAATGGCGCTGGAACGATTGATCAATCTGTTGCCAATGGTGCAATGTGCACATCAAACGCTAACACTACTGCGAAGCTAGCAGATGCGGTTTCACGGCCTGGCTCTAGTAAGAAATTGCGACAAGCTGTCATTAAAATTTATATCGGAGGGATCGCTGTGATGGAAACTTCGGGAAATTCATCCCAGGGCATTAACGATGGAGAGGACGAAAGTCCTACTATCAAATATCAAAATCACTCCAAGGCTCCTAGTGGAGCAGCACAGACTACACCTAGGCAACTCTGGCCACCGTCTTGGGTAGCAAGGCTTAGCTCTGCTGAAGTTTCTAGGATCCTCACTTGCGTATTGACTGTGGCAATTACGATGGATGAAGGCAAATGTGGTGGTATAAAACCTCGAGTCTTCTCTCAGTTCTGTTGGGTTATATTAAAGCGGTAGAATCCGACGATACGAGGTTGGTGTTTAAAATGAGGGGTTGTCTACCCACGACAAGGCTTGAGGAGTCAGACCAAGGGCAAGGCGGTTAGTTTCCAGTCATCCCTTCTGTAACGAAAACATATGGCTCTTCAAAGCAAGTCGTGCCATAACTGAATATGAAGTCCAATGAGCATTTAGCACTGAGTTTTCTATAGCCTGCACGTGGCGATCCTACACAGAGAAAATGATACAGGTAAAACGCAAGTTTTTAAAAGAAATTGTAAAATAAAAGTTTTTGAAATAATTTTACTTCATACAAAATAAAAAATACAGTATTTGTATTTACGACTTTAAAACGAAACATTCGCAAAACAAAAACGATCGTTATAATATATTTACTTTTTTACTGAGGAGAACAGACGAAATTAAAGAAATAACGGAAAAATGCGTGTTTTCAAAACTAAAATGAAACATTTGAGGATTTTCTCCCAACGAATTGTAGTGCGACACAAGTTTCAACAAGTAAAATAAAACTATACACTTTTAAAATAAAAAATTTAATTTATTTTCAGTCAATTAAGTATGAAAAATATTTAAAAGTAAAATGTTTTGCATAAGAATTTAAAAAGCTACCTAGCTATAATGAAAACATTTCATATGTTTGCATCATTTGTCGAAAAAATTCTATTGATATAAATAAGTTAATTCAATCTTCAAAAAAGGTGATGAAGTATATACAAACAATACCGCCATTCTAACCGCCTAACTACATGGAAGGGACATTGGTGATATGGTGGACTTCTTCGACCGAAAAAAGTTTTGGTAAGAATAATTTACAAAAATTAATTCTTATGAGTTATTAAATTATAATTTAAAACTTTCTTGCTTTAAATTACCGGGTTTGACCAGCGTGAAGAAAAACTAGCAGGCCCAGCGTTGAAGTAAGGCGGGAACATCTGTATGTATGTATGTATACAGTATTTGTAAAACATCTGTATTTTGTTTATTAAATTTTGTAACTTATTTATAAGTATATATGTATATCAATATATTTTTGACAATGTATGTATATACCAAATGACTTGTTGTGAATTAATAAAAATAAAATTTGAATATCATATTTAAAAATGCATATTTTTAAAATGCAGAAAAAACATTTTAGGATTTAATTTCAACATGCGCATATTCAATTATCAAACGATCGTTTTTAAAAACGATTTGAAAATTTGAGTACCAAAAACAAAAACATGGATTTTGGAAATTGAATTTAAAATTTTCGTTCTCAAAATTTAAATAAATATTGTAGGTGCAAAACCTGGGTCAAAACGTTTTTAAAAGTAAAACGTTCCACACAAATTTGAAAACGAAAATTTCTCTGTGTAAAAGTGTATTGAGGCAACGCTGACGCCCGCACTGTCCCCATCATAAAGGTGGAGGAGGAGGCAGGTACCCAAAACGAGGTACTGTAGAACAATTTCCACGGGTCTTAGGAAGCCTTGGCTGCTCTATGGGAACGTCCTTAAAGAGGAGACGTGGAGGTGGCGCTCATCCAGGAATTTTTGGTGAACAACTCAAGGATATGTGATGATGACGTCATGGTTACAAATGGTGATAGGAGGCAACCTGTTCGCGTTGGCCTTAGTTAATATTCCAAATGAGGCTAAGGGCCCTCCTCATACGCCGCTGCGTAACATGGTGGACAGCTTCAGGGGTGGACTTGCCCCAATCGGTGGTGATACTAATGCACACCATGTCCAGAGGTGAGTAGGGATATTAACAGTCAAGGTAATAACTTTTCAATTACCTTTTAATAACTAATTTAGTAGTAATTGGCAATAGAGGCATGCAACTTACTTTTATTGCTACGTAAGGAGGTAGGCATAGGACCATTATTATTATTGTTTTTGTCGAAGTAAGATGAATCCTGGACCATAGCGGGTCGGGAACAGGTGAAGTTCACAGACAGTGACAATCACCATCGACCTTCCTTCCTGTGAAATGAGGAATAAGCCTGTTGCGAAAGAGAAGATTATGAGAACTGTACGAAACTTTCAACCCATTAAAGCTGCAGGTCCGCATCTAATCAGAACAACACAACTTCATACTTAGAAGTGGCATGCCGCGGAACTAGAAACTTTTGTAGACTGGATGTTGATCACTTTCAGAGACCATTTTAAATTTAACTACACATATACAGGCAGCAAAGCTTCACGCGATCTTAAGATAACAGTTTTATAGGATCTCCTTTTTTCTCACTATTTTGAGTCGATTGCTGTCAAAAGGACTACCAAAACGAATATATATATATATCGAGTAATTCTTAAGCTTCAAGGACTATTACCTTGCAGCTTTTGTGGACTTTCAATAAAATATGCCCTAACAAATACCTTGATGAAACTTGGGGACAGCTCTTTGGTCGAGTTTGTAAACCAAACGTTCATCGGCAGCGTAGTAACGGCGAGCACTTGTGAGAACCAAGTTTCGAGGGATGTCACAAGACACTACCCAAGGTGCCGTGCAAGAGAGCCATAGGCGAAAAATCGAGCTTGAAGCCAGGAATTTGCCGTTGGTTTTACATCGCGATTGTTGGAGCAGCTTTCTTATGTGGAGTTATGGCCTGTTCTAAACAGGGTGAGTAATCTTTAAATACTTAGCTACTAAAATACATAAAACGTCTTAGTTTATTAGGATCAGCTTTCCCGGAGATATACATCTACATATATCATCAAGCAAGATCTAGATTAAAAAAAGCTCTTTTACAAGGGCCGCTCCATTGCAGGCAATGGCAAACCGCCGAGTATATTTATGCCCTGAAAAGCTTCTCATAAAACCATTTGTCGTTAGAAGGCCAGGCGTTTAGTTCGGTTTAACGTACATGTAACAAAAAAAAAAAACACAAATTATATGACCGAAAATAATAAATTTTACTTAAAAAAGATGCTTTTGGTCTCGAGTTTCTAGAACAGGGTCAGCGTTGTGAATTTCAACTGAGCTGGCTATTTAAGAATTTAGAATTTTCCAAACTTTCACATTTATAATAATAGCGGGATTTACTATAACTTGTCAACTAAATTCCTAAGCTGGTGGCAACCCTCTTCAAAAATATTTGCCAAATAGATACTGCTTTCGTAAAACCTCTCTCATTTGATATCCACATTAAAATATTTCGCTTAACTTGTTAATTAAATTGAATTTAACTTTTTGAATAGGTGGCAACACTGTTAAAAAATATTTTAAAAATAAATAGTTTTTAGCCATCTTCGTTTCGACGCCTCCACGGTTGTGGTTGTCTTTAGTGAACTTATTAATTATTCGAGTTAGCATTTTAACAGCTGGCAACCCCTTTAAAAATACTTATGAGATAAATTGTTTTGCAGCCTCTTTCATTTGATATGTACACTGTTGTAATATTTTATCTATTTGGCTTATTAATTAATTGATTATAACTTTTGAAGAACGTGGCAACCCTCATCAAAGAATATTTAGTGTGAAAAAGTACCAAAATTACCCACACACTAACTCATTCACACTCTTTTGCATTTATATTTAGTATTATTTAGTAGGATTATGCACAGTTCCAAGTTGTAACCACTTTTACGTCACTCTCATTTTTTTATTTGCAAAGTTACGCTAGCAACGGTTTGCCAATTAAGTACAATGGCTTTCGTTATTTTAATGCTGAAAATTGAAGCTAACACGTTCAAGTTGAACATTTTTAACTCGACGCCCCATTTTGCTACTAATAACGGTGTTTAATCATTTGAAATTTAGTGTTGTCCTTTCATAAGTGTTTTTTTTTTTTTTATTAATTCCGCAACACTTTATACTAACTTATTCATTTAAATTCCATCAATTTTATTATTTAAAATGTACACAATGTGGGCGGTCACATACCTGTTTACGCATTTCGCTTGCAACAATGCAGGCATGCAAAAATGCATACGTACATACATACATACATAGATATGTATTTACAAATAGTTTGTCCACTCAAGCGTATTCACGTACATATAATTGTACATACATTGCCAACTCACGCGTTTAGTCGGAAATGAAATTTAGCTTGAAATTGTTGAATTTCNTTTCCGATCTCTTAAAAGTGTAAATTTTTTTTTATAAAAGTGTAGCATATTCTACAATAAAAAACGTGTAAATCTGATTTTAAAATTTTATACAAAAAAAATCACAATTTCAAAAGCGCGCCCCTTTGCGCTATCCTTATGCCCTGCACTAAATATGTTAATACTATTTTTAGAGAAATTTCTTATACGAAGTTTTATAGCCCATTCAATTTTGGTAAAATACAGTGCAGGCTTCAAGTGCCTGTAAAATAGCCTTGAGTTTTGACAATTTTTTGTTTTAACGTTGCTGCGCATTTTCATCCACACAAAGTATGCTCGATAAAACTTTTATATGGAAGAAATGTACAGTGAACAAAAAAAAGAATATAAATAAAAAATACCAAAAAGCAATGGTATTTTATACTAGCCACTTGAAACTAGCACTTTATTATGATAAAATTGCACGGGCTATAAAACTGCGTACCTGAAAATCTAATTCAAAAAAATATTATCAACTTTTTCACGACTGGACATTGGGATAGAACACGCCTTTGTTGACTTTTTTTTATTGTTATAAAATTTTTAAATCGGATTTACATGGGTTTTGCTGTATAACAACAAGGAGTATATCGTCACCTGAAATGCAAAAAGACGTAACAACATCGTCACTGAAATGGAAAAAGTCGTGACTAATAATTTTCTTTTTCCATAAAACGATTTGTGGAGTTGTAATTCGATGAAATCCATCATATCAATCAAAAAGTGAATTTTGAATTTTTTATAAGTTACAAAATTTGCATTTCAGGAGACGATATGTGTGTACATAGGTGACAATTGCATATATGTACGCAAAATATGTATTTAACTGTCTTACTTTGATCAATATTTGCATATCTTTGCAGCACGGAATATTTTTCGTCGTGGCACAAAAAAAGATTACGAACACTCAGGAAGCTTTTTGGAGGCCATTGGACCCGGTAAGTTTAAGTGAAAAATTACAATTTACTTAACTTTTAACTGCAGTTAATAAATTGAGGCCATTTGAGAAGCTCTAATGAAAATGTGCTAATAAAAAAAGGCATGAGTACCAGGTAGTCATAAAATTTAATGTGCAAACATCTGTGTCCCGACCTCGTCGCGAAAGGGTTCACAAAAAGTTTTGAGCTTGTTGCGAACTGGTCCCGAAATGACCCCGAAAAGTTCCGAACTGGGCCCGAACTAGTGCCGGAATAGTTCCGAACTAGACCCGAAAAAGTTCTGAGCTAACTAGTTCCCAACTACTACCAAAATGTACCCGAAAATTTTCCGAATTAACCTCGAAATGAGCACGTAGAAAAGTCTACTCTCTACTTATCTCGATGGTATGCCAACGGCTGTCCTCGTTAAAATCACTGGATCGCTCCGGATCACTCCCACACTGGCGCTTAACGCTATGCTCAGTGTTGCACCTACATATTGACTTTGCGGGTCCAATAAATATCTTCATGGGCGGATCGAAGCTGGATATTAGAGTTGAAGAAGGTGTTTTATATCAGGAACTCTCAACAAATCTCATGTTAAGGATGCTGGATTTCTGTAGCGTATTTAGGCAAAGGTGCGCGCCATAAAGCTGACAGCCGTTTCGTCGATTAGAAGTGTAAACATCTACTCTGATAAAACAGCGGAATGCCAGACCTCTCACTCAAGCGCCTCGAAAGACTTCCAAATCAAGCTGATCGGCTCCCAGGGCACAGGAACATCAATGAAAATTATAGAGTTGATGAATTGGCTAGGTAGGGAACCTTCGAGGACTTCACCTCGGATAAGGAGGACATAGAAATTCCATTGAAAACCTGCGGCTTGCTCTTAGACAGATGGGCGTACAGTCGGCTCAGCGTGTGCTGGGATAAAACCCTGATATGCTAAGCTGCAAGGTCACCCTGGCCGGTTGTTAACCGCAGGCGATGAAGGGAGTTTCTGCAGCTGGCTACGCGACAGCTCTCGATTCTAACCGGTGTTCTTTGCAGATATTGACCTTTAGAAAACCACGCGGTGTAACTTAATCAGGGATCCGCAGCTGCTTGGAGGATGAAGGTGAGAATCATTTCAGCACTTCCTTCTCAGGAATCCCCGAGGGATTCTCCGGAGTGGATATAAGCTGACTGCGGAACTTTGTTTTAGGCCAGTAGTTGCCGTTCAAAGAAAAATCTATGCAGTGTGGTAACTCAATGGAAAACCTAATTAAATGGCTATGGGAGCTCACATCTCGGTCCGGCCACCACAATCCAACCTAAACTAAACCTAGAATACGGAACGTGCACTTAGAAATGCAAAAAGTTTTTTCTTGAAGCTGGACGGGCACAAAACCTAAAAATACATTTAAAACAAACAAGAAAATCAATTTCCATTTAAAGAATGCACGTGCTTGTTCCCATTAAAATTTTTTGTTTGTACTCGTATTTTTCATACTTTCTAGAATACATATTTCTTCTTTGAGAATTCAAGTCGTACCTAATTATGTTCATACATATATGTATTTGTATGTGTGCACACTTTTTTTTCACTACTCACACAGTTTTGCTATTGGCACAGCTATTTGCTTTGATGCCCGTTTGTGGTGTGCTCTCAAAGTCTGCATCAGAAATGTATTTTTCTTGGAAATGTGTGCGCACCTGGTACGCTTTGCTGGTAATCGCCTGCCTGGGACCCGCCAGTTTGGTCACGATTTCTGTTGCATTCCGTGCATCGTTTAGTTTCGACACAGTTGGTAAGTTGAAAGGGGATGAATCCAACTATTAATTTACAATTCTTAAACTATAATATTTTCTTTCCCACTTATAGAGGCGGTCGTTTTCTATGTATCGATATTTGTTATTTCTATAGCATTTTTTCAATTGGCACGCAAATGGCCAGCGCTGATGCTGCAATGGGAGCGTACCGAGTCCCAGTTGCCGCCCTTAAATACCGAAATGCAGAAAGCAGCTTTGGCGTATCGTATAAAAATGATCACACTGGTGGCCACTATGTGCTCTGTGGGTGAGTATATACATACATACATGCATACATACATAAAGATACAAATCCTATGCGCCCTTGGCGTTGCTCATTGCTACAAAGTTTCGCCATTGCACTATGGGCCAGCAAACGATAAAAAGTGGTCAATATTCGAAATCTTATCGGAATGGCTTAAAACTTGCTACAGGGGGTTTTTGTGGACACTGATTACAAATCTGAAGTTAGATTTTAAGAATTCCAAATGGCGGATCCAATATGGCGGACAATATGGTGTTAAGTAATCGAATTGGCTTGAAACTAGCTACTCCATGATTACGAATTTGAAGCTAGATTTAAAAAACTCGAAACGGCTTAGTCAGCCTACATAAAATGAAGTTGCCGAAGCCCACCAGCAGGAGGCTACACTACGACTTAGATTTCATTTTTTTAGTGTTTTTTTGTTTTTGTTTTTATATCTATAGTTTTTCTACCAATTACGAATGTAGACTTCACGGTTTTTTCTTTTTATATTTCGCTTTTTTTTATATACATATAGATATTTTTGCGAATTAAAAACTTAGTCTTCGCTTTTCATTTTTATTTTTTGTAGTTTTATTTACTTTTGTTTTTGTTTTTTAAATTTGTTTATTTTTTTTACCAATTACCAATTCAGGCCTCTTTATTTTTTTTTTGTATTTTCCATTTCTTTGTTTTTTATATTTCTTATATTTTTTTTACCAATTAAGAATTTAGACTTAGTTTTGTATTTTGGTTGTATGTTATTTGTTTTTGTTCTTCTTAACTTTTTAATTCATTAAAAAAAAGGAAACAATTTAAAATTTCAGTTTTTAAATAAAAAATTAAAGTGTAGACGAATCGTCAGTTATGTTCATCATATCGGAACTTATCTCAGCAACTCATAAAACTAAAAATTTGGAATTAATTTTCTATAGGTAGTGATAAACACTTACGGCGAAGAGGATGAAAAAAAAAAAAAACTCAAAATGTGCAAAATTGAGCAAATTCATCTTAAAGTACATTTAATGCAGAGTAGATTTCATGTTTTGTTTTTGTGTTGTGCGATGATACACAGGAGTACTGCTAAACGCCAACGAGCACAATTCATAAAAATTAACGCCTGGCTCAATAAAGATGTCGAATTATTTTAAGCAAAGGCTATTTTTAATTATGGTTTTCTATTTTTTTATATTACTGCATCTTATTAACAAGAAACAAACGACAAAAGGAAAATATTTATTATTTTCTAGAAAAAAAATCTATTTTAGTATACATCGGACATGTAAATTTAAAATACAACTATTTCAATCAAAATAAAATTGCGACCACAATATTGAGGCAATTGCTAAAAACTACCTTAAATACTTTATATTTTGGCTATTAGCATAAAAAAATTAAAATTCTTAAGTTGACCTTTGGCCGTTTTTGAATGCCTACTGGCCCACTGTGCAATGAGTTGTTACTTTACCACTTTTCTGCTAACTACGTTTCCCTTCTGTTTGACTTTTGTTACGCAGTGGAGCATTTGCTGAGCATGTTGGGTATTATCTATTATGTAAACGCGTGTCCAGCCATACCGGGACATCCCATTCAGAGTTTCCTCTACTCAAATTGGTCGCAGTTTTTTGTTTACTTCGACTACAGCAACCTGGCGGGCATCTTTGGCAAAGTCTTGAATGTGATATCGACATTCGCGTGGAATTTCAATGATATCTTCGTGATGGCGGTGAGCGTGGCGCTATCGGCACGTTTTCGCCAACTCAACGAACATATGTTGCGTGCAGTCAAGCGGGTAAGTCGTCAAGTTGCTTGCTAAATAATTTCTATTGGCAAAATATTTTCATTATGCTGTTGAAAATTCGCTTTAATTTTTCACTTTCATCTTTTGATTTGAGTGTAAGTTACCCATATTTTTCACTGCTTTTTTTACTTTCACCTTTCACTTGTTTCTTAAGTGGCGCATATTTAAAAATATTTATGTCTAACTAGCACTTGTATGGTCTTTCTTGTTTTCATGGCAGCCAACCACGCAGAAATTTTGGATGGAAAATCGCATAAATTATCGCAATTTATGTAAACTATGCGAAGCTACAGATGACACCATTTCCGTTATTACGCTATTATGTTTCTCCAACAACTTATTTTTTATATGCGGAAAAATTCTTAAGAGCCTACAGTGAGTATTAGTAAGCTAACATTGTAGTTATTTTTTCGGAGTACGGGTATTAAAGCACTTAAATCATTTGTCGATTTGAGCCGTGACAAAGAAATTAAGCCAATTGTCTCCCTCCTTTCGAAAGCAGTCAGGTAGTACTTCTGAACATGGCCTTTTCATTGTGTTCGCGGGCGTCCTTGCCAACGTTATCCATCCATTGGTGTCGAGGCGAGAGATCTTTTCATTCCATCTTCTTCGGTACTCGTTACCTGGGCGAACAAGGCGAAAGATCTTACTTAGAATTGTCTTCTCAAAAGCTCCCAAAGCTCTCTCCAAGTTTCTGCGCCATATAAAAGGCATGAGAAGAATTGAGAAGAAAGAATCGGCCGACGATGTCGATATCATCTGCATACGACAGCAGCATCGTTCTTTTGCTGTATAAGTTATACTTTTCGGGTTCCGAATAAATAATAACACTACCTACTATGTAGGTTTGATATCTATTTTGATCGTAACTTTATTTGCTCCGCATATGCGGTAGTAACGAGCTAAGAGCCTGGCAAAAGACTGAATATTAGAATTAAGACAAAGCTTACTCTACCCTACTTAATCCCAACTGTAGCAGAGACTGTAGTAGTTGATATCTTTGGTGTTGTTGTTGTTCCAGCGACTGTAGTTTTAGGTGGATCGCCAATTCGCTATTGCTAGTGCTTTCGTTGTTGTTGTGGTTGCAGCGACTGCAGTTGCAGGTGGATCGCTACTCCGTTACTGCCGTTGTTTTCATTTTTGTCACGCGCATATTTGCAGACATAGCGTCAGCATTTCACATGAGAACGGAATGTTTCCCATGAGCGCGTTAGCAGGTGTTAACTTATACGGTGTCGCTGCTATTCAGTTTGGCAGTTCGTACATCGCTTTCCAACTTCTTCATCATCTGTTACGAATTCCTCAATATCTTATTCGAATGCCTCTGTAAATTAAGGGGCTTATCCACCCAACTCTTGTATCGGATCTACGTGTGCTTCATAACGCTTATAAAGTGCTCTTTATAAAAATGTACAGATACCCGCAGCTGCACTAAACAATTTTTTTTTGTTCGTTTTAGGAAAAAGCCATCCTATTCACACGTTATGTACTTCTGGTTCTCGCTGGGCTTCCTTTTGATGCGCACACTAATGCTATCGTTGTACAGCGCCGAAATTAATGATGAATCGCGACGGCCGCTTGTGGTTTTTCGTGGTATTTCGAGTGAATATTGGTGCCCTGAGGTGAGTTGGAAATAACTTAGAAAAATTTATAATGATTGGCTTGTTATTAAGTTAAGATTTAAACACTTTCAAACACTTTCAAGTCGATAATTTGAAAAAAAAACGCGATTTGAAAAAACCGGTTCCCCATTTTTAAATTAACCAGTTTTATTTGACATATTTTCTCTGTTTACGGTACAGCCACTGGAAGAAACGATGTATTGCGGAACGCTTTTCCGTCGTCCCTTGTCAAATTTAGTTTGGAGATAAACCGGTTTCGGCGTTGTGTCAACTTTATCGAGAACGATAAAATACACTGAAGATGGTAAAACGCCAAAGCTGGTTTGTCTCCAAACCAATATGGTATTATAAAATATACTTCATTTTATAACCAACACCATACAAATCCACATTTCAAACTTTGTGCAAAAATTATAAAAATTCAGCGAAATTTCACCAAAACTTAACACTTTTTTTAAATAATAATTTGCGTATGCTGTTTTATAGCCCAAGCAATTTTAGTATAATAAAGTGCGAGTTTCATATGGCTACTAAATACCGTTGATTTTTGAAAATTTGTTTGTTGACGCTATTACTCATTTTCTTCCAAAAAAAGTATGTTCGAAAATTTTTTTTACATGGAAGAAAATGATCAACAGTGTCAACAAACGCATGGGCTATAAAACTGCATACGCAAAACTTTTCTAAAAATTCTTAAAAAAAAGTGTAAGTGTGGGTGAAAATACTCTGAATTTTTAAAATTTTTGCACAAAGTTTGAAATATGGATTAGTATGGTGTTTGTTATTGAATGAACGAACGACGAAGTGTAGTCCATTCCCTCACCAATACCATATAAACCCAAAAATAAAACTTTATAGAGCACTGAAACAAATTTTATAAAACTTTCATCCAAATTTAAAACTTTTTTCTCAGAAGTGCTTAAATTTTTTTGAGCATAAAGTTTTATAGTCCTCTTAATTTTAGTAATAATGTGCAATTTTAATTTTCCAGGAACTACTGCTGATTTTTTAGATTTTTTTTTGAGAACATTTACCTCCAAATAACGGATGAACACAATTTAATTTTAAATGGAATAAAACCACAACACCGTCGGTAAAATAAAATCACAAGAAATTAATGGTAATTTTCATCTAAGATTTAATGAAGTATAAAACTGTATAATGTGGGTCAAATGAAACAAATTTTGAGGGTATGCGTATCGAATTTCGCAAAAAAAAGTTTCTGAAACCCCTTAATGAAGATACATACGAGTATGTACATACATATGCATCGTTAACTTAGAGCAATATCATAAAAGTAGCTATGGTAAAAGATATTTCTAGCCCTCATAGACAATAAGCATTTATTATAACATAAAAAAAAAATTCTATAAAAATAAAACAAACAGAAAAGTTATATGATTAAAAATAAATACGGCAAAAATTATTATTATTATTTTTTTCCTTAAAAGCACACGTAATAGGTCAACATTTTTATAACTCTTAAACTTCTTAATCAACGATAGCAATAAGTACTGAAAATTCTTTGTCCACTCAATAAACGTTGAAGCAGCACTTCAAATGGCGGTGATAAAATTTACTCCCTAGTACTCGTACATAAATAAATAGATACGTATAAGTTAACTTTACGTCTTCTTGTTGTCACCTTGCACTTTTCCGCATTACGCCTTTTCCACTCTATTTACTTTGTATATTTTATCTGGCCATAAATGTTGATTGGCTTAATACACTTGTAATTTGATGGCGCCCAACAGTTCCACATTGACTTAGCTCAACCTCCAATTTCCTTTTTATACCTTTCATGAGCATGAAATGGTATTATAACTTTGGTCCGATGTCTGTAAGTTACAGAATAAAAAGAGATAGACCCATTAAAATGTATACTTATATAATCAGAACGTCGAGCTGAGTCGATTTAGCCATGTCCGTCTGTCCGTCTGTTTGTATGCAATCTAGTCTCTCAGTTTTCGAGATATCCGGATAAAATTTGGTAGGTGGGTGTATTTTTATAATATATTATTCATTTGTCGGTACCGGAAGAATCGGACCACTATAACATATAGCTCCCATACAACTGATTGTTCAGATATGAGATTTTTCGTTATAACTTCTGCATTTATGCAGCTGGGAACATGAAATTTTGCAGTACTTGCACCCATTCTCAACAGAATACTTACAGTGAAAATTACAAAGATCGGGTCACTATAACATATATGAATCTTTCATACATCTGATTGTTCAGATATGGGATTTTACTGTAAAACTCCTTTATTTGAACAGCTAAAACCGATAAATTTCGTAAGATATTTTATAAATAATAATACAAAGTCTACTGAGAAAATCGTCAAAATCTATGCTGTATAAACTTTATCTCCTATACCACTGATTGTTCAGATACCAGTTTTTGTGATATATCTCCTTTATGTAGGAAACTCAATAAATTGTGTTACCGGTTTACATACCGATCACATAGCAGTGAAAATAACTTAGATTGGTGCTAATATAAGGTATATCTTCCATACCTCTGATTGTTCAGATGCGATTTGTTATATAGGTATGTAACTCCTCTATCGATGTATGCAGATGTATTCAAAAGCAGTAATCTGTCGAAGTAAAATTTGCAGATATTCATGAAAGGTATGAAGCCTTCGGCATAGCCGAAGACAGCGCTGCTCTTACTTGTTCTTTCTTTATTTCCTCACCTAGTTGACTGCATTTTTTCTGGCATTCATTGCAATGGTTATCCGACTGGCCGCTAAAGTGGAATAGCATTTCTTCTGTAGAAATTATGCAGCAATCGATTTTACTAAAGAGATTTATTCTTGAAGCAGTTATTGTGTTTGGGAGGTGTTTGTATAAAATAGAAATTTTACAATTTATGTAAGGCGAAGAGAATGAAAAAATAGTTTTATTTAGTTTATTGACAACTGTTGAGTCCAACAGTTATGTCCAGTGTATCCAAAATGTTGCCTAAAAAGTATCCAAAAGTATCCACTTTTTTGTTTTAAGTATCCACGTATCAATCTAAAAACAAAAACCTACAAGTTGTAGTGAAAAAGCATATTTTTTCATGAATTTGTGATATTTTAATATTTTTCCATTGAATTTCAATTTATGTCTCACATTTTCATGTGTAATTTTAATACTAAAATTAAACTTTTTTTAAATAAATTTGAGACCGCTGAACCAGAATATCCATCCAGAATCCATTTAATAAAAAAAAAACAGTTTTCAAGATATAAGCAAAAGTCATGTTCTCTAGGACCTTTCGGTCCTGCTGCTGGAAATCTGCGGGAATTTTAGGCGAACCCAACTATGTTATATATTTCGGAATAAACATTTGTTTTCCTCTAAATGCATGTCTCAAGTCGCTAAAAATTACCGTTGATTTTTTAGAATTGTTTTTGTGGAGGGTGTTGCGGATTTTATTTCATATAAAAAAAAAAAATTGATCATGTGTTATATGGAAGAAAATGCGCAATACCCTCCACAAAAAAAAAATTCAAAAAATCAACGGCGATTTTTAACGACTTCAGATTTGTACTTTCTTAGACTACAATTAAATGGGCTACAGAACTGCATACACGAAACTCTACTAAATATACTGATTAAAAACTTAGAAATTTTGATGACAACTTTTTTAAATTAACTTTTTTTTGCAATTTTTGCAAGCTTTGAAACTTTTATTTTTGTGGTTTCCGTTACAGATTGAATTATATTTTATATGAAGATTATTAAAAACAAAAAAAATAAACATAATTTGCAAACAATATCATTTTGAATTTCGTTTCTAATTAGTTGAACGCAGGTGTACTTATTAGAATTATCTAATTCCCTAAATTACAGTTGAATTTGATCTTTTGAACCAGTGAAAACCCTGGGAGGCTGCTTAGAGATAAAGCCTTTTCAAACCCATTTCCATTGATTCCCGTATTGCAGCAATTCACTTAACTAATTGAGCAACATTTTTGTTTAACTAAATCGGCCAAACATCCCTATGTGCAGCGTTCTGCCGAAATACCTACCAAAATGCCGTATTGCGGTCGTTTGAGCTAAAGAAGTTCTCTAAACCGATCTCGGTTCACACTGGCAAGCAAAAACCTTGAGGTTGTGCGTTTCATGGTTTTCGGCGGTTGCTCGTTGAAATTAGCGAATCAATCTCGAAATCTTGGTCTTCCTAAACAATGCAATCGCCAGACAGCTGACGGCAATATCACCATGGTTTGGTACTACTGTGACCCGAAAGATCTTCCGTACCACAGTCCTTCAGCATCAGTCTCCAAAATGGCTTCGGGTTTCTTAATAAGAGCTAAACGGGTCTTGAGCGACTAGTATCTAATTATAAAAGACTAGTTATGTATATGTGTATGTATGTTTTAAAAGGAACTAACCTTTTTCTGGCCAAGTCTGGACATTAGATTAGATTAGGCTACATGTAGAGCAGCTACATGTAGGAAGTTACCGCTAGTGAGAAAATCTATTCTAACATGCCTCTATTTGTTTGGAGGCCTTCTTTGATCCACGTATCTGAAGGCGAAGTTTGGGCCTAGTTAGAGCTTTGTAGTTACTGTTACTTGTGATACAATCTTCACTGGTCAGAATAAAAAACTCCTTGACAAACAAGTGCTTAGTTATCCTAGAGTAGCCAGTAAGAAAATCAAAAACTTGCTTCCTATTGAAGTTAATGGACGCTTCGATTCTCATAGTTGATATTTCTGATAAAAGAGTTAGCTTGTATGTTACCTACCGTATTTGTTTAAAAGGTTGCTGGGTCTATGAAACTCTGTGCAGCGCCTTTTTTTTGGCGAGCATGAGGTCCGATTACCTAATGTGGTAATCCCGGTTCCTAGATACGATGAGTATTAAAAGCTGAGGGCAGTCTCATACCAGCTTTGCGGGCACTTCGTTTATTTTCACGGCAAGAAGCGCAGCCCTGCAGTCAGAGTGGCATACACCTTGGCGGGAATGATCGAGTTAACTTCTCTCATACTAATGAAAAGGATCCGTCTGAGTTGTTTTCCATAGGTACCTGCTCCGACGTGCTGGCCAGTATTGGAGCCTTCAGCATACAAAATGTCCCAACGGACGTGTGATCGTCCGGGAGTAAGTAGCAGGATGCAGTGGAAAAAGAAACAGGCTGCCAAACAGCGGCACTCCGGACCGACACAGGGTCCCCTCTAGTCAAGGAGCAACAACATTATGATGTGCAAGCCCTACTAGACGCAAAGCCCTAGCCTAGGTACGTCAGAACGCATCTATATGAACTGACGGACGAGGCGCTAAAGTTAATAAAACGACCCATAGACCATAAACGCCATTCATAAGGAATCGGCCTCGACTTATACCAACTCCCAACTAAACTCAGATGTGCTCAACGAATGTCTGGAAAGCGGAGAGTTACCCCATTACTAGACAAACCCCTTCGAATAGCTTTATCTAGGTGAGACTTCCATTTATGGAGAACTGGAAGGTAACTCACTGACTTCCTTAGAGCAGTGTATTTCTTCTATATGAAGAAATGCTTCCAATAAGTTATCCACTTCTCTTTAACGCGATAAAATGAATATGCTAATCTTCTTAGAGTTCACGTCTGAACCGACATGTAACTATCTTTCGTACTAATTCCTTGATGACCTCCTTTTCGTTGCCTCTACAGTGACGTGGTACATCAAAACAGTCTTTGACAAGCTTGGATTTGAACATCCTTTTGCCGGGTATTAAATATCAGCACATTCTTTGTCCCTCATTCTCGTTTCGCCTATTACTTGTTTCTTTTTAGCCGACTTCAAAAAAAGGAGGAGGTTATCAATTCGTCGGAATAATTTTTTTTAAATGTATGTTACCGAATAACTTTGCACCACATTAACAGATTTCCATAATTATTTTTCTATGGGGAAAGTGATGTCTCAGGAGTGGTCCCACGCTAATATAGTTTAGATCCGATCATTGGATCATGAAGAAATTAACGGTACTCCTAAATTTGTATATGAGAATTGTAGTCGGTTGTGTTTTCTGCTTAAAAACTACTTCTTGTATTTTCCATCTTGTCTTTTTTCTACTTTTCACACAAATTGCATTGCCAAACATTCATGCGCTGACACCCACATATGTACATACATATGCATATTATATGCTGACAGCTTAAACGTTTTTCGGAAGAAGTGACCACAGACGTGGTTGCACTATCGGGCATGAAATTTTTTCATTTGACTCGTGGGCTGGTGCTCTCGGTAAGTAACATGTAATATGTATTGATTGAGAATTGCTCAAACACGCTGAATACTCGTAGTATTGCAAGATAACAACAAGAATTATTGAAAATTTCGAAAATGCTTGCAGTAATTCACATTTTTTCCAGTGTTCATAGCTAGTCTGCATACTTTTTCATATGCTTATATCAAACTGCTTTCTTTCTTTTCTTGTGAATATACATATGTATGTCTTCATCATCATTTAGGTATTCAATTTATTTGGTTTTGTTGATATCGGTTATTGTATTTTATTGCATGATTCTCATTTCTTCTTCGCAGGTAGCCGGCAGCATTGTCACCTACGAATTGGTTTTGCTACAATTCAATAAAGAAGACAAAGTGAACGATTGTTACGAATATTGAGCAGCAAGTTCAGCAATTCAATGCGCTGCATACCCACATAAATATGTATTGTACTACTTAATGTGAAAGAGTTCGATGTTTAACCAAGACTTTAAGTAAAACTTTTAAATCGTAGAGTTGCACAGTCTTTAAAAGACTTTATTTGAATCTTTAGGCAGCATTCTAAAGCAAATAAAAAATACCAGTGTCTTTTATTTGGTATACGAAGCCGTATGAGGTTCGGAGTGTCTATGCAATGAAAAGAACAAATTTATCATAAAAAAATTTAAATTATTAATTGGAAATTAATTTGTGTCAGATTCTCAATGCAACCCTGCTAGTTATGTTTAATTTTGACTTGGAGGTATGTTTATTGAACAGGGAGCAATCAGCTGTTTGTTTCTGGTTCTCTTTTAAAGCTGATATTCCATTATAACACGGAATTTACGGAACACTTTACATTAAAGTGGATAGATGTACCTAAAGAGTAAATATGTATTTATATATAAAGAAAATAGGAGGATAACAATTCCCATCGATACCATATCAACTTCTGTAATCACATTAAACAAATTTTGGCTATGAAAAGAATCTCTTCGAGCAGCGCGAGAGAAAACTTACAACATAGTAGAAAAGGTAAAAAACTCCATTTTTAGAGGTATTTTCAAACCGGTCCAGCTCACGTAAATCTTAATATTTTTCAGAAATATTTTGGTAGAAGTATTAAAATATACTAGGTTTGGTAATCTCGCCGGAAAACCGCAACTTTTTTTTT